TCTTCACATTTACACTCTCTTCCTTCTTGTTGAGGCATTGGACTCGTCATTATTTAGAGAGTATATTCTGACTTGCTTTTTGTAGCGAAATGCTTAGATACGTACATCGCGCTCTCAGTTATGCACAACCCGCCGACACCGGTGAGCAAGGCAAGCCAGGCCCCTCCACAGCTGAGCACGTCGTTTTCGGGAAGCGCTGCTGGCGGTGCCAGTACTTCAGCTAGCCTGGCATCGCCGATAACACCCTTCTCCCAGTCCGCGTTACCATCAAAGTCGCTCCTTTCCAGGGAGGACTCGTCTACATTTGACCCCACTGTCCCCGGTGGAGGCAACGCTGGCGTCCCTGGAGCACACCCTACTCCGATGGTGCTGCAGCGAAATGTGCAGAAGAACCTCCACAGCACTGTCAGGAGGATATTCGAGAGCTGCTACGAGAGTGGCAACTATAAGCAGGTTGTCGGGATCGCCATTGAGGCTCGGAATCTTGAGGTCTTGCGCGAAGCTATTGTGCGCGCAAGCCAAGAGGGAAAGAAGCAGGGAAAGAAGCCCGCACAACCGTCTGCACAGAGCGAGGATTTGATGGAATACGTTCTCGACATTTGCATGAACGTGGTACAAGAGCGCGGCCTGAGAAACGAGATTCTTCGCATGATTCTGGACCTCCTTAACGATGACCAGATACCGAACCCTGATTATTTCTCCATTGCCAAATGCGTTGTTTACCTCAACCAGCATGCCCTCGCTTCGAAACTCATTCGCCAGCTCATCGAGCGCGGTGACGACAAGTCACGAGCTGTCGCATACCAGATTTCCTTTGACCTTTATGAGAACGGTACACAGGAGTTTTTGAGCAAGGTCATGGAAGAGCTCCCTGCCGAGAAAGAGGAAGAGACGCAGAAGCCCCAATCCACCGAAGCAGGTGAATCAGATTCTCTACTCGCAAATGCCGACACCAGCAATGTCTCAGGCTCCAAAGACTCTGAATCGACCGAGGACCAACTCAAGTCTTTCAACTCTGTCCGCCATATCCTCCGGGGAACAAAGAGCATCGAACTGAACCTTGAGTTCCTGTACAGGAACAACCGCACAGACAAGGCTATCCTGAACAAGGTGCGCGATAGCCTGGAGGCTAGGAACTCCATTTTCCACTCTAGTGTCACCTTTGCAAACGCTTTCATGAACGCAGGCACCACCAACGACACATTCTTCCGCGAGAACTTGGAATGGCTAGGAAAGGCAGTCAATTGGTCTAAGTTCTCTGCGACCGCTGCTTTAGGTGTCATCCACCGTGGCAACATTACTCAAGGACAGAAACTCCTCGAGCCATATCTACCCAAGGACAGTGTTTCGTCAGGTTCTCATTACGAACAAGGTGGATCACTGTATGCTCTTGGTTTGATTTACGCCAACCACGGCAGTAACGTTCTTGATTTGCTCCTCAAGCAATTCCAGAATGCGTCCGAGGAAGTCATTCAGCACGGTGGTGCGCTCGGTCTTGGTGTCGCAGGCATGGCCACGGGCTCTGAGGAGATCTTTGAAGCGTTCAAGAACGTACTGTACACCGATTCCGCCATCAACGGTGAGGCAGTCGGTCTCTCAATGGGTCTTGTCATGCTCGGCACGGGCAACATCAAGGCACTTGAAGACATGATTCAGTATGCACACGACACACAGCACGAGAAGATTGTCCGAGGTTTGGCCATGGGTATGGCACTCATCATGTATGGCCGACAAGAGGCTGCTGATGAGCTCATCAACGGTCTCCTAGATGACCCAGACCCAACTCTACGCTACGGAGGAATCATGACCATTGCGTTGGCATACTGCGGTACGGGTAGCAACAAGGCTGTCCGAAGGCTGTTGCACGTTGCAGTCAGTGACGTTAGCGACGATGTACGACGCGTGGCAGTCATGAGCTTGGGCTTCATCCTATTCCGGAAGCCAGGTAGCGTTCCTCGCATGGTTGAACTCCTTGCGGAGTCGTACAACCCCCACGTCCGTTATGGAGCGACAATGGCTCTCGGTATCGCTTGTGCCGGAACCGGACTCCCTGAGGCCGTTGATTTGCTCGAGCCTATGATGAAGGATTCTACTGACTTCGTTCGCCAAGGTGCTTTGATCTCGCTGTCCATGATCATGGTGCAGCAAAATGAGGCCATGAACCCCAAGGTAGCATCAATCCGCAAGCAGTTGGCCAAGGTCATCGGCGACCGTCATGAAGACGCCATGGCCAAGTTCGGTTGCGCTCTTGCTCTCGGTATCATTGATGCTGGAGGCCGAAACTGCACAATCGGCCTGCAGACTCCGACGGGTAACCTGAACATGACTGCCATTGTTGGTATGGCTGTCTTCACCCAGTACTGGTACTGGTTCCCTTTGACGCACTTCTTGTCTCTCAGCTTCACGCCTACTGCCGTTATTGGCCTGGACCAGGAGCTTGAGATCCCATCGTTCAAGTTCCACAGCAACACACGGCCGAGCATGTTTGACTACCCGCCTGATGCTGAAGTCAAGGCAGAGGAGGCGCCAGAGAAGATCAAGACAGCAGTCTTGTCGACCACAGCCCAAGACAAGCGACGACGGATGGTCAAGGAGCGTCAAAAGCGAAGAGAAAGCATGGATGTCGACCATACTCCTGCCACACCAAAGCCATCGGGCGACGATGACAAGATGGATGTTGACGAGGACTCGAAGAAGGAAGACGGAGAGAAGGCCGAGGGAGCACAGGCCGTAGAGTCATCGTCGAAGAAGAAGGCAGAGAAGGAAAAGGTGGGCTACGAGCTGGAGAACATGTCGCGTGTGCTGCCGGCACAAATCAAGTACATTAGCTTCCCAAGCGAGCGATATGTACCAGTAAAGAAGGTAAGTGGCGTACAAGCCATACTGGATGAAGTAGCCAGGCTAACGCATGAGCAGCCAACTCTTGGTGTGATTCTTCTTACAGACACCAAGCCTTCGGAACCAAAGACGCTCCTTGAGCTCAAGGTAAAGAAGGCTGCACCTGCACCTGCCCCCGGGGCATCAGGATCCTCTGGCGAACAAGCACCTGAAGGCGTATCAGTAACAACAGCTGCAGCGCCGGTCAATGACAACATGGTCTACGAGGGCGAGGCGGAGGCGTCAACTCCAAGCGAGTTTGTCTACGAATCGGACACTAACCCAGATGATGATGAATAGGCGGCTAGGACAAGGATAGATGAGTAGCGTGTTTGTAGAAGATGAGCGCTTGTTGATGCGGTACGTGGGATTGGAGGAGAGCGGGGTTTGTATTCATGACGGGCTGCAGGGAGGCTTGTAGAGTCACCTTTCCCCAAAGCCAAGTAGTTTAGACGCAGGATACATGTATAATAGCCACAAGGTTGTTCTATCTAAGTGTGATGTGTGCCGTTCAGCGTGTCTCATGTTCATAGATTGGTGTGCAGGCAGGTAGGACTAGTGGCTTCTAGAATTAACCCGAGATCCTGGATGGTGTAATTCGGCGCAAAGTGCAGTAGGTACAGGTGACCACACGGCAAGCAGATCTTCGGCATCTTGGGCCTGTCTACTGGTACGATCGGGGGTATAAACATGACCGTTATGGTGGGGCACCAATATGCGTATATTCGTACTGTAGGCGCGGTGGCAACGGGAGTGGATATGGGCATGAAGCGGCAATTGCACATGCATCAAGTAGATACCGAAGCAATTTCGTCACAGAAGCAAGGTATTCGCTCATGGATGCCCAGTAAGATTTTGTGTAACAGAGATTCTGAATACGAATAGTATACATTTGTGTATACGGGAGTACTTACATAGGGTCTAGCTTCCCCGGATTCCTCGGACCGCTAGCTCGGGACTAGAGCCGGAATGGGCTTGACGCAATCTTCTACGGTAGAAACCCATGTTTTCCCCATAACGAGTGGCGGTACTCGTGCATCGCGCCATCGGATATGCGCGATGCTCTCTGGCTGACGTCTCACAAATATGTATGTCTGTATGTTCCATGCAAGCGACCTTCGGGAATCTCAAAGGGCTGACGAAAGCGCGCGGACGAGCGTACCGCGTCGAGCATATGGCAAGGATTGGACGCGATGAAGGATTGCGGCGTCGAGCGCCAGGCGGCCCTGGATCACGGTCGCCTATGTGGTTGAGTGATCATGGTGGACATTTGGCCCTTTCTACCATACCAGACCCTCCACCAACACGAGACGCGCCCTACCTCCACCAACGCTTTTCGCCCTGTGCAGTCAGAAACTGGGCTTTCTTTCCTTCTTCCCAACGGGCCGCCAGGGCTTGACTGGGCTCCTCCTCCTCCTCCTCTTGTTCACACGCACCATCATCATCATCGTCATGCCCCAATCCACTTGTTGTTGCCCGTTTTTCTAATTTACCCATAAAGCACCCAATCACAGCCGGTCTGCGCCTACGGGTTCCCTCGAAGCGACGCTGCATCTGTACAAATACCCGGTCATCATGCGGGCGCAGCCCCCGCGGAAACCCAACCAATCCACCCCCTTGCGTTGTACAACCAAGCTGCTATTACCCAGTTCCCACCTTGCCTGGAAATCTGACATGTCTCAGTGGACTGGATTGGCTTTTCTTCTTCATGGGGGGCCCGCTGGCAAAGTCACATATTCAAAAGTCTTGGACATGGGGCTTGATTAAATTAAATTGACCCCTCCATTCCCTCCGCCGCCTTGCCGTAGTATGCCAAAAACTCCACTTTAGTTAGCCACCCACGCCGCAGCCACCTTTCTTTCTCCGCGCCGTGTTCCTGGCTTGTTTTATGGTGCCGTGGGTAGGTAGGTCAGTTGGCGGGATTGATGTGCAGGCCGATGCCCACATCCGTCTCTACTAATTGTTTCCTCGGGGCACACCATTACCAACGGGACGGGCTTTTACCTTCCCTTTTTCTCTCTGTGTATGCCACACCTTATTTCTTGCTCCGGCATTTACGTTCTCTCGTTTTTCTTTCTTCTCTCCCGGTGCTGGCCCCGCTGTGGGATTAGTAGTCGGGCAACATGGAGCATATTCACAAACGAGATGTGCATACTTCGCATACAGAGCGTAGTAGTAGCACCGTAGAGATTCGGCAGGTTCAGAACGTTGCTTTTGCCGATGCCACGGCGAAGGCTAATGTTAGGCCATGGACAAAGGCTATGTTCAAGGTTGGTTTTTGACACAAAGCTATTCTTTTTCATGTCGCATTGTACTTTGTCTTGCTAACTTACGACATTAGTTGTACTTTTGCCTCTTTATCGCCACGCTCAACTCGTGCATCAACGGATACGATGGATCGCTCATGGGGGCAATCAACAGTTATCACCAGTACCGCTCGTATTTTGGCTTCAATATCGATGAGGGTACGCCGACTACTGGAATCGTCTATGCCATTTATACGATTGGTAACCTTGTCGGTTCGTTTGTAGCGGGCCCAGCTACGGATTTCCGAGGACGAAAATGGGGGATGTTTATCGGCACTTCGATTATCATTGTTGGTGCCTGTATCCAAGCAACATGTGTCAACCTCGGTGGCTTCATGGGCGGCCGTTTTATTCTGGGCTTTGGCGTCGCCATCACATCGACCGCCGGTCCAGCATATGTTTCTGAAATGGCTCATCCCTCCTACCGCGGCGTCTGCACCGGCATCTTCAATACATTCTGGTATGTCGGCGGCATTCCTGGCTCCTTCGTCCCTTACGGCACAAGCAACATCCCCGGCACGCAATCATGGCGCATCCCCGTCTGGCTCCAACTCATCTTCGCGGGCATCGTCTTCTGCTGCGCGCCCTTCCTTCCGGAAACCCCCCGCTGGCTCATCGCCAACGACCGGCACGAGGAAGCCCTAAACACTATGGCACGCCTGCACGGCGAGGGCGACCGCGACTCGCCCATCGTCAAGCTCGAATACAAAGAAATGGTCGAAGACATCAGCGTCACGGGCTCCGACAAGCGCTGGTGGGACTACCGCGAACTCTTCAACTCGCGCGAGGCCCGTTACAGAACCATGCTCGTCCTCGCCATGGCTTTCTTCGGTCAGTGGTCCGGCAACGGGCCTGTTTCCTATTATTATCCAACTATGCTGCAGGGCGCCGGCATAAACAACAATCACACCCGTCTCCTGTACAACGGCATGCAGAACGTTGTTTCCTTCAGCGGTGCCATTTTTGGTGCCATTTACACGGATTCCTGGGGTAGACGGCCGCAGTTGCTTGTTTCCACCGCGATGCTTGTCTTCATCTTTGCCATCGTTTGTGCCCTTGTTGCCACGAATTTGAAGACAGGACCGGATGGACGGCCGGTTTACATAGGGAATAATCGGACGCCCGAGATCAAAAGGCCCGGTCAGGCCAAAGCGGTTATTGCGTTTGTCTTCATCTGTGGGTTTGTGTATAGTGTTGGTTACACGCCGTTGCAGCAATTGTACCCTGTAGAGTGTCTGCGGTACGAGTCTCGAGCAAAGGGAATGGCGTTTTACAACTTTTGGGTTAATATTGCGAATTTCTACAATACGTTTGTGACGGGGATTGCGTTTTCGGGGGCGGGTTGGAAGGTATGTTTTTTTTCTCTCTTTTCCTTCCCTTTTCCCCCTCTCAAGATATGTTTTGTGCCGTACTAATGTAAGGCGATAGTACTACATCCTCTTCATCTTCTGGGACATATTCGAATTCGTCTTCATCTACTTCTTCTTCGTCGAAACACGGCGCCGCACCCTCGAGGAAATCAGCGACATCTTCAACGCTAAGAAACCTGTCAAACACTCTCTCAATAAAACCAGCATCCTTGTTCATGCAAACGGTCGTGGGGTGACCGAGATGGTGGATAAGGAGGAAAGAGTCGTCGAGCGTGATTTTGCGAGTAGCGCGTTTGTAAGGCCGGGGCAGGGGGTAGCGCAGTCTAGGGATAGCGGAGCGAGTGAGGGCAAGCTGATCTGGAGGGATGAGCTGAGAGATAAGGTTATGGATGTTGGGAGGGGTAGTGCGGAGAGCGATATGGCGAGGGAGGAGGCGCGGTATGCTGGGGGTGGGTTTGCGGGGAATGCGTGGAGAGAGGAAAGGGAGCCGTGGTATGCGTCTTCACCCATGTCTTCGCCGAGGAGTCCATAACGAGCGTGAACTGATTTTCTTTTTTCTTCTTTATATATACCAGAATGGGGCTGGATTCGTTTTGGATCTGTGTGGCCTTTTTTTTTGAACATGTAAATATGTACATACACTTTGTTCTATATTATCACATGATCGTATCTCTCATCTTCTTGAACATACTAGCTTGATAGAACTACTGCTGGGTTTATCAACGAACGATGAACAAAAAAACTCGGTCGTGCCAACAAGGTAGTCTTCCTTTACTCTTACCCTGTGAGAAACCACAAAACTCCACACGCAATCATCCCGTCTACAAAATGGGGGTATCACACGTCGTCAATCCATATCCTCTAGATCACCCTCTGCCGCCTTGGGCACCTGCTCCTCGCTAACCATAATACCTACCATGCACTCGCCAAGCATATTCTCCCAATTAACCCACGGATGCACCTCCATGAACAACTTGGTCCCGTCTTTACCGGCCGCGCGACGGAGCTCGCCTTCTCCACCGGGATGAAACGGGAGATAGGGCGAGATATTGTACACTTTTCCCTGATAGCACGACCACGCATCTTTGCCCTTGCGCCCATTCTTCTCCTTGAGCATGGCTGGTGTAACGCGAATCATAGAGTCGACGCCAGACAGGTTCTTGCCGGATTTCTGCAGGTGGGCCCAGTCGAGCGGCGAGTGGCCCGGCGACAGGAGCACTTTGCCCCGTGCGTTTGGTGTCTTGATGGCGGGGCCTGCGCTGGGTGGGACTCCGAGACCTCGGTTTGAGGTGGGCGGGCCTCGATTCGGAAGCGGTCCGCGGTTCGGAAGAGGGCCGGTGGTGGGCACGCGCATAGATTGTGAGGACGAGGAGCTAGGCAGGGGACGTAGACTCGAGGCTGCGACTTTCGGTGGCGGCATGAGAGACGTAGTGGGTTTGGGAGGTGGCGCCATAAGGGTTGGCTTTTGAGGTGGAGGCATGGCGAAGTGAGGAGGCGCTTGAGAGGCTCTTTGTGCCGAGTTCATGGCTGGAAATGAAGGCGGCGGCAGATTGTCTTCCTCTTCATCTGAACTCTCGTGCTCGTTGAGCGTGAAGGAGGGCACTGGAGGTGCATTATCGTCTGATTTGGGCATAGCTTTGGGTGTAGACTCGAGAGATGGGCTTTCGTCAATCCCATCAACTGCCTCATGCTTTGATGGAGACTTGAGCTCTATGCGCTCCTCCCTGGCTGGGGTGGGGCCTTCTTTGTTGCCATTCTGCGACTTATCGGGTATCGTGCTCGTTCCTGGTCGGCTGAGGCGAGTGATAAAGGCAAGCCATGTCGAGGGTGGGCGCTGGTAAACAAGGAAAGAGAGCGACAGTGCAAAAATGGAGAGGGCAACGAGCATGTCTTTGATGTAAAGAGCGAAGGGGTGACTCGGCCCCGGAGAATTAGGAAGAAGAGAGCCAGCGCCGAGGCTTAATGCGCATTCAGGGTTTGTAGGGCTGAACGAGATTGCGCTAACCGCCGATGACTTCACGCGCCGCATGATGACAGCAATCGGAACAATCCATGTTAAAGGAAAAGTAACTTTTTTTTTCTGTGGGCACAGTGAAGGCGATTGCGCCGGGAAACTACATAACACTCTCTCGCCGCTTGCTTCTCGCCATTCCAGCTACATGTTTGCAATTATCTGACCCACCCAACGCGCTACTCTACTATTCTACATAGAAACTCGCGCCTGCCCCACCACCCCTCCATTGACTGCTATCGGAAGCCGCGACCGGACGCTGCAATTCACCCTGAGGCTCCAATCCCGGCGCAACTCAATGGCGGCCGAATCAGCAACCCTGCCCGAGGGCATCTTCTCCCTCCTGGACACGGATCTGTACAAGCTGACTATGCAATGTTGCATACTGAAGTTCTTCCCTGATGTCGCAGTCACATATGGTTTCACCAACCGCACGCCAGACAAGAAACTCAGTCGCGCAGCCTTCAAGTGGCTACAGGCCCAAGTAGATAGTTTGTATAGTCACCTCCATAGCCATGCGCGTGCTAACCCTTCGTAGAGCTGGAGAATGTGTCCGTTTCCGACGAAGAGCTCAAATTTTTGAAAGATAGCTGTCCCTACCTAAACGCGCAATATCTGCACTTCCTCTCTACCTTTCGCCTGAAGCCCTCGAAACAGCTTAGACTATCATTTACGCCCGTGAATGACACAGGATCGGACAGCGATTACGGTGACTTCCATATTCACACTGAGGGCCTATGGCTCGACACAATCTTGTACGAGATTCCGCTGTTGGCGCTTGTGAGCGAGGCATACTTCAAGTTTGTCGAAACAGACTGGAACCATGAGGGCCAAGTTGAGAAGGCATACCAGAAGGGGAAGGCGCTGCTAGAAGGAGGCTGCATCTTTTCAGAATTTGGCTCAAGGAGGCGGCGAGACTATCACACCCAAGACCTGGTACTGCAGGGTTTGCGCCGGGCAGCTGATGAGGGTGCCAAAATAGGGTGGAAGGGTAAACTTTCAGGGACCAGCAACGTTCACTTTGCCATGAAACACGGGCTCGTCCCCGTCGGCACTGTTGCGCACGAGTGGTTCATGGGCGTGGCTGCCATCACAAACAACTACGAGAAGGCAAATGAGATTGCTCTCGAGTATTGGACTGCCACTTTCGGAGCGGGTGTATTGAGCATTGCGCTTACAGACACGTTTGGTACACCAGCATTTCTAAGGGCTTTTAAGCAGCACATCCCTCGCGTTACCACGGCGGTTCCAGGAGGCAGTACAACGCTGCCATCATCAGGGAACACGACCACAAGTGATGCGGTGGAAACCTTGGCTTCTACAAATCCACCTGTCCAGGCACCATACAATGGAGATGCAGCCTCGGAGACGACATACGCTCAAGTTTTCAACGGCGTGCGCCAAGACTCTGGCGACCCCCTAGAATTCATCAAGCTGATGCGTGAATTTTACGACAAAGAGGGCATCAAAGACAAGAAGACGATTGTCTTTTCCGACTCTCTCAACCTCGAACTCTGCTTCAAGTACAAGGCAGCAGCAGAGGAGCAAGGGTTCCAGCCGACCTTTGGCGTAGGCACGTTCTTAACGAGTACGTATTTGAGCCATGGAAGTTGGATGTGTGACTGACGAGAACAGATGATTTTGTCGAAACATCCACGGGGAAGAAGTCTGTGCCCCTGAATATCGTTATCAAGATTGCGTCTGCGCAGGGCCGCCATGCTGTGAAGATTAGCGACAATATTGGTAAGAATACGGGAGATCAGGCAACGGTAGATGAGGTTAAGCAGCGTCTTGGATATCAAGAGAAGTCGTGGATTGGCGGTGACGAGCGGACACGATGGGGGAGCGCAAAGTAGGGAGACGATTAGTGGTATTGGGTAAAGTTAGCGATTCTACTATGTGGTCTGGCAAATGTAAGCGGTCGACTCATGGAGTACGTCACTAGCATATTGGTCACTCTCCAGTCTCAGTTGGTATAGAGAAAGACTTTGGGGGAAGATCGCAGTTGTCTAGGAGCACACAGGTTTAGCCTTTTGTGAAGCACTCGCAGAATATACCGCAAAGATTTGCACTCAGGTGCTATTGTTCATCTTTTATTCGCTAGAGGGATTCATCTAGTAGGATTTGAGGTTCGGCTTTCCTGCATGATCAACTAACCATCTAGACTCTACTTACGCCCCTAATACATTAGGTAACACAAGCGCAAGGCTGAATAGCAATCAATATAGTAAGAGGTCGTTTATTGGCAAATGAAGTATAAAAGATAAATCTTGATCCCGTTTCGGGTATGAGTTTCTATCTCTGGTGCATGATTGCATCCGTAGGCGAATAATCACCTGTCGATCCTGTAGACAGGTCCGAGGAGTCATCTCGCAAGACCGGTGTAGGCGTAGATATATAATGTCGTGAGACCCAGTAAAGCCTACTCTATTCAAAGTCTATTTGCACACAGCCTAATCAACCTTGATTCTCGTTCTCTCAATCTAGACCTATTAACACACTTTTATCTCAACATGGCTCCCATGCAGGAAACGCATTCCAGTGGGCCGATTGATGCTTGCGCCACGTCTATCAAGGTATTCTCAAGGAAGCGGAACCCTCGATTTGACAACTAACAGTATTAGTGCTCCACGTGTAGTTGCTGCAAGAAGCTCCAGTGTAAATGCACATGTAACTAGTAGCTTGTTTGGGCTACTTTAGTACTAAGAGCCGGGAGATGCTTCATGAAGACTTCACTCACGGGCGGTCCTATGAATGAAGCGGCGCGAAAATGAGTAGAGATAGATTGATTTCTGCTTAGGAGAGGACAGGCCGAAAGGATGGTTGTAGTTTTAACCCAGCTATTGTCACTCACTTGATAGCTACAATGAGAAACCGTATGAAACGAAATTTCTTTGGACTAGCGTTGTGCCAGAACACACATTTTAGAGCATGATATTCGTTTGTCAAGTTTATTGGCTACGCCCTACGCTGCGTTCAAAGACTTGGCACTGGGCGTGGGATGAATCTATATAGGCGGTATGGCAAGGTAAAGCAAGGCAAAGCACGGCAGGTGTGTCACAGAGGGTAAATTACAGCTACCATGCAGACTGGCCCGACAATCAGCCAAGGGTAAAGGGTAAAGGATACTACTAGGTATACCTAGATAACCGTTTGCATTTGTTATATATCAGGACTTATAGGAGCTACATGCTCATGTCATGTACCTACAAGCCATTTAGTCGCAAATCACAACCTTTATTCAAATCTCACTTTCGTACACAACAGTCAATCATGACGAAAGACATGGAAAATACCAGTACAAAGGCAGACGTCGGCGCCATATCCATAGCGATGTCAACAACACAGACTGCAGTCTTAGAAAACGGTCCCCAGCCAAACAAATTCCCAGCCCACCGCATCGACCAAACAATCCAAGTCATCTCTCCCGCCGAGCAAGTACATCTGAATAGATTACCCTCTGTTCTATTAATCCGAATTTACTCACCATTCCAAACAAAGAGCCTACCACCTACCATCAACCCCCAAAGAAATTGGCCCCGAGCCCACAAATGGACAGCAGCGCTAATCCCTTCATCCTTATTATCCCTCCAAGCACTAACCGAGACCATACTCGTTCCTCTGGAACCCCAAGTCTCAGGCGACTTATAGATAACGAGGCCCTGCAAGTGAATTCCCTGCAACTCTCTCGTTCTAGTAGGCATCAGCTTCGACCCACTCATCTTCGCTCCTTTACTTGAAGTGTATTGTCGCAAACCCGTCTTGTTAAGCGGGAGTGCAGTATTTCTTATCTGGAACACGGGATGCGGAAGAGAGAGGGGGAGGGTATTTGCGGTGTACATGGCTGCACTGCTTTTGGGTCCTGCTCTGGGCCCTATATTTGGGGGCGTGAGTTGGAAGTGGGTGTTTTGGACGACGTCGATGGCTACGGTTGTGGGCATGGTTGTAGCGTTGTTGTTAATTTTTTTTCCCAAAGAGATATATCAGCCGAAGATGCGTCGGATTTTTGCTAAGAAATCTCGTTGCCTGGAGCAGGCTACTGTGGATACGAAAAAGAATACCGCTTCTTTTCTGGACCTTGTGCGAGATGACCTTCAAAGATTGTCCCGCATGCTGGCCACACAACCTATCGTCAGCTTCTGGCGACCTACATGGGCTTCTTGTACGGCACAAACTGGATCATACCGAATGTTGGGAGCTTTATTTTTACCACTGGGTGCTATGTTTGCGCTAGTTGGGTTTCGCTCTCTTTGATCGACACAAATGGCAAGTATTCTGCTTCGGCTTTGTCGACAACTCTGCTTACGCAAAGTTGCGCGGTCGCTTTTTTCCCCCGCTTTTTGCACCATACATGTTTGATCGTCTGGGGTTTGAGCTGGCTGCGACAGTACTGGCAACGGCACTCACGGTTGTGGGCTTGGCGGCTATTGCTATTCTTTGGTTCCGGGGTGAACGGATCCGAGCTAATGCTAAGAGCACATATCGTGTACCTACGGCGTTTACTTAGATTAGCTAGGATTAGAAGAGGTACACATGACATCATGCATGGACGTTTTTTTGTTTTTGGAGATTCTTTTTGTGTATCTGACTAAAGTGGTAACCATGACGTAAGCCGTGGATGTACGTTTTAGGAAAGACATGGATGCGGGATTGTTTTGTCATATACTTTGCTATTATACTAGCATCGGTATGCAGACTCCTATGTACTAGTGATTAGTCAGGAATATGCAAGAGTCGCACAGAGACCTATCCACTTTTTGGGCATTTTTGCTAAACCGTACTCTTTTTTCAGATTTTTCTTTGCTCGTTAGATATGGAAGTAATACTGTTCTGTGGCCTGAGGTTGAGTTGGACAGGCTTATTCTAATACCCGCCATGAACACATTTCTCATCTCTGGTCAAACCTGTGTTGCCACATGATGTATATTCTTTCCACGACAACATCTGTTCTAGATCGTCTCCAAGTTCAGTGCAACAGTGGGAGAGTATCAACACCGGTGTGCTAGCGTGAATGGGGTCAATCAATCCAGTTGTTTAAATTTCTATTGTGGTACGGAATTATCGGACGTTCTAATTGGTCCATGAGTGAGATGTCCTTTGTTCTCGGCGGGAACCCGTGTGCAGCTAGTGAAAGCGTCTTTGCTCAATCAAGCGGTGTGGAGAATGCGCCTACAGAGTCCAGGAATATTTATCTGGCTTTGTGCCTCTTAGAGCATGGATGGTCTATTTCAGACTACCCAATGAAGACGAGTTAAGAGTAAGCGTACTTTTAGTAGTGAGACGCTTATAAATCTAGCCTAGTGAATTCCGGGATGGCATCAGAATATGTAAGTATACCCATGACACACGTAGTTGAATGTCTGCCGCACGCCTATGTAATCCGTCGTATGTGCCAACAGACGGTAGAGGGTGCCTTGAGTGCTAGGCTGCAGTAGTCATGACGCGAGAAGGTAGCGTACATGTGTATGTACATACGTGTGTACGTACATGGTGGCAAGCTGAGCTGCGGGCGCAAGGCTGAGTCTGCTAGTACGTGGAGTAGACCCTGAATAGGCATGCGAGGCCAGCCACGGCTGCGTAAGCTCTTGGCTCTGTATCCAGGTCGACAGCAGTGGCGGGGTGGAGTGAGGTGGCGAGAGGTGAAGCCGGTGGTGTATCTTTGTCAGTAGGACTGCGTGGATATATGGCAAGAGACGTGTGTTCTACGGAGACTGCGGTTGTTGGAGAGACAAAGTTGGGCAAAAAGGCTAGCCAGCTGGGCCAGACATGTGCGGTCAAGTGCAGCACACGCCAATTTTAGAGGGACAAGGCGGGCCAACCGTCAGAGAGGCGCCGCCAATTTGCAGCTGACTGGTGGAACGCCTGGCCCAAAGCGGCTAGCGCGAGCGCCTCCTGCATCTGCCCTATCCACCCTTCACGCTCAGCCCCAGAAAACATTCGCGGCCCTGAAACGCATTTATCTTCTGCCTCAAGCCTTTGTCGACGACTGATTCGAGCCTGCGCGCGTTTGACATTTCCCGCCGTCTCCTCTTAGCCACCAGCCCGTCCCACTGCCGTGTGAGCTTTGCTTTGCGCGTCTGCACTTGGCCGTCTCAGGAGTCTCCCACGTCCACCCACACCACACCCGTCCCGTTTCAGAATGAGCGTAAGTTCCCTCTAGCTCTACCCATTCCGTGCGCTCCATCTTACTCTCTTCTGCAATACTCTTCACTCCGCCCAAACTCTAAACACTACATTCTCTCTACTGACCATGGCTGCTGCCGACCAACAGTACGGAAACAGAGGCTACGGCCAGATTGGCTCCGCTGGAGGCAACCCCTACGATGCGCGTGACCAGAGTGCAGGCTACGACAACTACGACCGTATGTATCGCTGAATCGTGTCCATGGTGCCCTCGTCTAATGCTACACAGGCGATGTAGAGATGCAATCCTACCCTGGTGCTGGTGCCGACCCCAACGCCATTCTCAATGAGTGCCGTGAAGTCGACCGCGCCCTCGACGACCTCGATGGCCAGCTCAACAACCTCGATCGCGTCTTCAGACAATCCCTGGCCCGCCCAGACATGCCCTCTGGCGAGATCAACAACCTTAGCTCTCAAATCATGACGGGCTACCGCGCACTTGTCACTCGCGTCAAAAACATCAAGTCGAAACCTGATTCGGGTCACCCCAGGAACGCCCCCCAAGTTGGCAAGGTCGACCGCAGGCTTAAGGCCACCATCAACAGATATCAGACTCTCGAGTCGGACTTCCGAAGGGAATCGCAGGCGGCTGCTGAGCGCCAGTACCGCATTGTGCGCCCAGATGCTACCGACGAAGAGGTTCGCGAGGCCGTTTCAGACCCTGATGCGCCCATCTTCCAGCAGGCTGTATGTTTCCATACCTCCCCTGCCTGTCACCCAATACTGACGTTTCCCAGCTTATGAACTCCGACCGCCGTGGCCAAGCCTCATCTACTCTGCGCAACGTCAAGGAGCGACACGAGGCCATTCAAAACATAGAACGTCAAATGGTTGAGCTCGCCCAGCTGTTCCAAGACCTCGACCAAATTGTCCAGGAGCAAGAACCGCTTGTCGCCAACATCGAACAAAAGGGCGAAGAGATCAATGATAACGTCAAGGCCGCCAATGTCGAGATTGACGGTGCCATCGACAAGGCCCGGGCCCGCAACCGCAAGAAGTGGTGGTGCGTCCTCATTGTGCTCATCATCATCATTATCATCGTCGTTATTGCTGTCGTGGTCACACAAGTCAACAAGTCTACCTCTTCCACGTAGGAAAACGATGTGCAATTTGCTGCATCCCGGCGCATACCATGATTATTATACCCATATCCACCCTCTCCTTCATCAGTAGTCTTTTTTTTCCTAAAAGGCTGGTCCCGTACACCATGTAATACGCCTTTGGTGGATATGCATACATACTCTCACTTTTCCCTTGTCATTTACTGTTTTGGGTTAAAAAAAATCAGTCTGTTGTTGTCTCATTCGCTGCGCTTAGCGGTGACTTTTATTCTCAGCGGCTCACATTGGCCGTTTTTTTTTCTTGGGCTTTTGTAGCGATGGCTTGACTGCATTACGGGTTGCTTGATTGTTATTTTAGAACTTAGCCTACGGGCTGTTATTGAATCGAGAAGATTTAAACGTATATCTGACAACGGTGACGGATGTGACGGGCCTAATCAATTACTACCGTGAAGACCCATCAGACACGGATTGGCTGCAATCTGTATTCGGCGGCAAGAATCAATCTCTAAGGAGAGTGGTGCCGATGGGGTTTCCCCATAAGCTGTGCGGTTAATATACACAAGTGCCAAGCTAAATTTGCATGTAATCTAAATGGCACAACGTGCCGAGCGCAAACCCAATGTAGAGCAGCATACGCCGACACTTTAACAAAGCGGAAACGCTGGACCGTCGAGTCAAATTAATATCATGGAAACAAGCACGGAATAAGCATCCGACCATGCCATTTTGGCTACGGAAGGCAAAGCTTAGGAGTATGCTTCCAAGAAACATATATAACTACCCGTCTGGCTGCATCTCCAACCTCACCACAGTCTTGCAGTCACATCAACGACAACCCTTCACCACAGACAAAAAAAAGAACAATGCTTCGCCAAACCGCCCTCTTTGCTCTTGCCCTCGCGGCCCCGGCGATTGCCCAAGTGAGCGAGGGTTTCGAGAACGGATGGGACCAGACTGCATGGCCCTCATATGCGGCAGACTGCAACCAAGGTGGTAAAGTCACGCTGGATACGACAACGGCCCATACTGGCAAGAACTCGATCCGTGTCGATGGTGCGGGAGGCTACTGCGGCCACATCTTTGTCGGCACAAAGAAGATTCCATCGGGAGATGTCTACGTCAGGACCTACTTGTAAACATGTCTGCCTTTTTTTTATTTCAAATCCAGATACTAACTCTTGAATGCAGGAAAGCAAGCAAGGCCTTCACCGACTCTCACGTGACCTTCATCACAATGCCAGATTCAGCCCAAGGCACAAACAAGCACCTGCGCATTGGCGGACAATCCAAGATCCTCATGTACAACCGCGAGAGTGATGACGCCACGCTACCTGATCTGTCGCCAAACGGTATTGCGTCGTCCAAGCCGCTGCCGACCAACCAATGGACATGCTTTGAGTACCATCTCGGCACCGACGGCAGCATCCAGACATGGTTGAACAACAGCACTGTTTCTGGGTTGGCCGTGGGTAATGGAGCGTCGAACCCCAATGGCGCACAGTGGAGTAGGAGTACCATCAAGCCTAAGATTACCGGGGTGAGTTTGCCAAAGTCTATTTTGGACGAGGAACGTTTTTTTTTGCTGACAATCAAGCGTAGGTGTACTTTGGATGGGAGAGCTACGGTGGTGATACCAACACATTCTGGTACGATGACATTGTTGTTAGCGATAAGAGGATTGGGTGCTAGATGCCAGGACGTCAGGTCCATGAGTCGTAGAATCAAACAATGCTCCAATGGCAATGACCGATGTTATGGATCCATGTGTGATGCTCGAAATGCTGCTTCTTGGGCTCGGCAGACGTGAGGAGATGCTGGGATTTATTTGTTCGTCGAATGCATGTGCATGGGGTGGTTGTCAAGCTGACCTCAGGAGGTTCTTGGGGTGATTGGGGTATAGGCAAGTGTGTCGATATCATCTGCATGGAGGTAGGCTGGCGGGCCGATAGCTTCCTTGCTCTTAACCTCGCCCGTAATCTGATCAACTGGGCAATGACGTAGCTGGGCCTTAGCCCCGTGCAAAGGCATCCACATAAGCTGGGCATTGAAGCCGCAATTGTGCGGAGAGAAAGTCAATCTCAAGACTTGAGCAGAAGGCAAAGGCATGCTCGCTTGGCGCAGCCTGATCCTACTACAGCGCCAGCTCCAGCCCCAGTTCTGCACCACGAACCATGTCCTCTGTCCTCCACATGTCTCCATCCATCCAGCCACCCCCGTCTAAATGGCGCAGCCATGTTATCACAGCTTCGACATCACCTGAGCACCCGTCGTCGAAATAGGCCCGCTCAGTATCTCTTGGCGCGGCGACGTGTGTGGTAGCTTGGTAGCGGGCATGCTGCTGGGCCGTTTGGGCCCAAGCTACTCTTCCCTGTCGATCGCCTGCCCGCCACCCTTCATCCATCCACCATCCACCCCATTGGGACTCCGGCAGCCCGCCATACGTTGGCGCATCGCAACACATGGACCAGCACGCCACGGCTTATGCCATCGACCTACAATTCAGCTCATGTGCAAGCGGTGAAGACCCATTGCCAATAGCTCCCTTGTACGGCGTGATGCACGCGGGCCTCTCACATGCCAGCCTACGCCAAGCGAGTCGGCGGGGACAAGCAGAACAAAGCACGGCGTCCCCAGTGGCTTTGGTGCGCATGGTCGATTGATACCTCCCGCTCGACTTGCACATGTCCCCATGTTCGCTTGCTGGCTTCCCCCCCGCGGCTCACGCCCGACCCTTGGCGCTTGTATTACCCGGCTACGGCGCCTGGAGGCATGTTCGTGATGTCCCGCATGCGTCTTGTTGGAGTTGGAATCCCAGAGAAAGCAACACTCAGACAACCGCCTAGATCCTTGGGGGCTGAACCGGGTCTGGGCTTTTTCGACCCTGCCTCTCACTTCGCCGTCATTCTTAATGGCGCTCGAGCCCGCGTCAACCCTTGCATTTAACCAGCCGTTTGCTCTTTTTGCCTCTCGAGGGTAGCCTTGAGGTTCTTACTTTTTTCTTCCTCGAGAACGTTTAATTAGCGTTTGAGGGTTGTTGTCTGCCCCCGTTTCTTTTTGTGGGGTTGGCTTTCCCAGAACCTGGGGTATACCGTCAGCGCACCACCTCAAAGCTACTAGGCAGAAATATGTCTTCGACAATCGCAGCGGCGAATGCCACCGCGACGGCGCGTCCCAAGGCGCCGCCGCAGGCTGGTATTCTCGAGGGAATGAATCCCGTACACTTTGATGCAGCTCATCCCATCATCTTGTTCATTGTCCAGGTAAGGATTGACGGAGCTTGGTTCACGAGTCCAAGCACTTGCCACCTCCCCAGCCTTGTTTCGACCAGTTCATCCAAATCCAAACGAAAATCAAGATCAAAATGTTAACCCCTATCAGGCCGGTATCATCATCATTATGTGCCATCTAATCAATTACCCACTCTCCAAAATCCGACAACCACGCGTCATTGCCGAAATTATTGGTGGCATCGTCCTTGGTCCCTCAGTCATGGGCCGCATTCCCGGCTTCCAGGAGTCCATTTTCCCAAAAGAATCCATGGTCAACCTGAATCTAGCTGCCAATCTCGGTCTAACCTTGTTTCTCTTCATCATTGGACTTGAAGTTGACCTCAGGCATTTACTCAGTAACTGGAAACCTGCGCTCAGTGTTGGTTTAGCAAGTATGGCCATACCATTTGGAATGGGAGCTGCTATTGCCGTCGGATTGTACAATGAGTTCAAGGGAGACCCGAACACTGTGGAAATTGACTTTTCAATCTACATGCTGTTTATTGGTGTCGCCATGGCGATTACTGTAAGTCTACCTAGCACCGTGACCTGGTCTGTTGCTGACTTTTTGAAAAGGCCTTCCCCGTGCTTTGCCGTATTCTGACTGAACTGAAATTGCTCATGACGCCAGTTGGTATCATCGTTTTGTCAGCCGGTGTCGGCAACGACGTTGTTGGTAAGTATTCCACATGCCAAATTGTCCCACATTTTGTAGTGCCAAGGCTAATTCGTTTTCTAGGATGGATTCTACTCGCTCTCTGCGTTGCACTCGTCAATGCCGGTTCAGGACTAACAGCCCTCTGGGTTCTGCTCACGTGTGCGGGATACATGCTTTTCCTCGTCTACGCTATTCGACCAGCCTTCGTCTACGTCCTGCGTCGATCTCGCGCGCTTCAAGATGGGCCTAGTCAAGGAATTATCAGTCTTACTCTCCTCATCGCCCTTGGATCGGCCTTCTTCACCGGTATCATTGGTGTCCATCCCATTTTCGGAGCTTTCATGGCTGGTTTGATTTGCCCTCACGAAGGTGGTTTTGCTATCAAGGTCGCCGAAAAGATTGAAGATTTGATTGGTGCATTGTTCCTGCCCCTGTACTTCACGCTCTCCGGACTGAACACAAATATTGGTCTCTTGAATTCCGGTATTGTGTGGGCTTATGTTATTGGAGTCGTGGCCGTCGCGTTCTTTTCCAAGTTCATTAGCGCTACGCTTGCGGCAAGGGGTAGCAAGATGTTGTGGCGAGAGTGTTTTGCTGTGGGCTCCTTGATGAGTTGCAAGGGTCTCGTCGAACTCATCGTCTTGGTAAGATGGACGCTCTGGTGATTGTTTATGATGGAGCACTAACAATCGCAGAACATTGGCCTTAACGCCAAGATTCTCAGCACTCGAACCTTTACCATCTTCGTCGTCATGGCGCTCGTTACCACCTTTGCCTCGTCTCCATTGGCAATGCTGTTTTATCCTCCATGGTACCAGAAGAAGGTCGAAGCATGGCGTCGGGGTGAAATCGACTGGGACACTGGTAAGCCCATCGATTCTGAAGGCAGCAGCGACATTGTGGAATACGAGAAGATGGCTGCGGAGAAGATTGAAAAATTGACCGTCTACCTCCGCCTGGACAGTATGCCCAATCTCCTGGCCTTTACCTCCCTGTTTGGCGGAAACGATATTCCAGCACCAAAGACACATCCATCAAAAGACACGAGCACTAGCACTAGCACCAGCCTAGGCAAGGAGATCGGTGAGACGAGCCTAACAGAAGTGACACTACCGAACCGTCCCGTTGAAGCCTACGGTCTACGCCTTCTCAGCCTGACTGATCGTGGCTCGTCCGTCATGCAAGTCTCCGAATTGGAATCCTACACCGCTTACGATCCGGTCGTCAACACATTCCGCACCTTTGGACGCCTTCACAACCTCGCAGTCAGTGGTGAGGTACTCGTTGTGCCAGAATCGTCATTTGCCGAAACACTAGCAACACGTGCCTCGGACTCGCAATTCCTTATCATGCCATGGAGTGAGACGGGCGGTATGTCTGAACAGGCCATTATCGAAGACAAGGGCACAAAGAACAAACTCGAGGCATCCAGTTACAACGATTTTGTACACGAGACACTGGAGAACGCAAGTATCCCCGTTGCCGTGCTCATCAACAAGAACTTTGGCGGCAGCAAGAACAAGGAGCACAAGCAGCAACGGCTCAGACTCAACCGTACAATCAGCAGCGTCAGCCTGGGCAGTGCAAGGGAGAAGACTGTGACAGCCCCCATTACTGACAAGAGCCACCACGTGTTTTTCCCCTTCTTTGGCGGCAACGACGACAAGACTGCTTTACGCTTGGTGTTGCAGCTAGCCCGGAACCCGCAAGTCACTGCTACCGTTGTTCACTTTGATCTCTCAGACTCAACCTGGGCAGCGCTATCTACCAACATCACTCCTCCATCACGCGAGCAGGACGCCGCCTTCTTCGCTTCGCTCCGCGCCTCGCTTCCCGCTGACCTAGCCAACCGCGTTGTTTTCGAGACCGTCACCTCAACTGCCCCTGTTAACGACGTTATTGCCCGCGCGAGTATCGAGATTAACCAGTCGCCAAGGAATGCTGGAGACTTGATTGTCCTGGGTCGCAACGTATCGCTCAACGGAGCACTAGACCGCTTAGGCAACCCGGATGAGATCCGAAGTAGCACTGGCGCAGCACAGACATTGGGTGTGTTGGCTGAACGGGTATGGGAAGGCAAGCTTGGAGCCAGCGTTTTGGTTATCAAGGCAGGAATGTAATGTCACGACTTTTTTTTTAAATTAATTTCTCTTCTTCTATATAGCACACCACGGGCGTTGGATTACTTTTGTAACGAGCATCATGATCATGGTATATTCAACACGATGTCACATATATACACATCTTGTTCTTAAGAGAGAGGCAAATCAATACTTTGTCATTCAACTTGAGAAAAAAGGGGGGCTTTTATATGCAAGCTGTGCCGTGCACATGGTTATTTAGGGCACCTCCGTCCCTCCCTCCCGTCCACCCCGCAGAACGGGTTCCATGACTCCAGTCACAGTGTCCCACACACGCAGTAACACTTTAAGTGATCATCGACAGGGGATGTCGCTGTAGACGACGTTTCAGATGAGGATTTGGACACGGCTTGGGCTGCTTCTGCATTGGGCTGTGTGGGCTCTCTCCCCCTGGGTACTGAAAACAGATTTTTCGGCTTCCCACTTTTGTCGATTTCAATACTTCTAGAGATATTTGCACGGGTGAGCCGGGGGGGGGGGTTTCCCATAATACTTGTGCAAGGTTGGGAGAGAAAGTCGGGGGGAATGTGAAGAATATGGATGGGTGGATGCAACGAGGTTTGACATGTTGTCTCGTGACATGCAACAGCGCCACCGACCCTATATGGCATAGTAGGTCAGGTCCTTCAAGTCATGTCCAAGGTCCTAGAGTAGTTCATCACAAGCCACACAACGTATATTCAGGACTTCAGAAATATATAACCCTTGGTGGCGTGCGGCGGAAAATCGCAAGCGGGTAATCATCGTTCATCAAGCGAATGCTTGGCTTGGGATAGGCTTCGTACGCACGTAAGGCAGGTCTGCCTGAGAGCCTGCGTATATACTTACTTACATACGTACTACCCTGTCAGAAGGCTATTGGATGGTACGTAGGTACTTTGGGTCGGGTACTGCACCGGGATCGTGTCTGATGGGGTCCGTGAGTGAGCCAGGTCTACGTCAGCATTCCCCGGTCGTGCTACGTGACTTTTTTTGAGTGTACGAATTGCAGCCGGGATGGCTTGATCGGATGATGGGAAGAGATTTATCGAGATATTCGCTTGCATCGTCCCGAGCGATGCTGATGGAAGTGGTAGCTGACGGCTATACGCTATAATGCCAAGAGGTCGTGCTGATGGTTAGACAGATTATATGTGGGCAAGCAGACGTAAGACGAGAAGGACCTTGTGTGACACACACGCGTGTGCGGGATGGACCGGAGATGGACGAAGATTTTTCTTTTTGTACGCGTAGTGACGGTAAAGATGAACAGAAAATGTGCGGTGAAGGAGGACGATAGTGAAGCGGGACCCATTGACAGCTGTTCAAGAATTCTGGGTACGGTAAAAAGGATGATCATGTCCGTTATGCAAGAGGCTTGATATGAGCCGTAATAAATGGAGGCCCGAGGAAATTAGTGGAGGTAAGTATCCAGGTCCAGTGTGTTGTTGGGTAGACGGGCGAGTGATGTACACATAGACCTACTAAATTGTGAACTGTTGATGTGCGAGTCATACATGCGTGTTTAGCCTTGCAGATGAGGGAGAGCAGCGTTGGTGGGCGTGCGGATCCCGTTGGGAACAGAAGATAGGGATTCGTGTTTGGAACACAATGACGAGGCCTGTAAAGGCTTTAGGCGCGCACGTCGTAATCGGGTTATGACCTGCAGTCGATCCCAAGAATTTGCGCCACCGATGGGTTCAGCGCCGCGCATGCGTTTAGCAAATGATGCCAGAAGCGTCGGTAAGGGCAAGAAAAAAAAAGATGCAAATGTGGAAAAACTGGACGACGGAATGGACGATATCCGTCGACAAGGTCATGGCGTTTTTGCGGTAGACCGGCGAATTCTTTTGCACAGGCTGATGTTCAACGGCGGTGGAGTTTCGGGCAGACGGACGCGTGGCTAGCGACTGAGGAATGTCTCGACCACTCAGGCGTGCCGCGACGGTAATAGCGTGAGCAGGGAAAACACTCTAGAAGGGCAGGGGAGATTAAGTACCCAGCAAGTACTTTTTGCGACGGGGCAGGCAATGAGAAAGCTTGAGCGGGAAAAAAGGGAGACCATGGGAAAGTTGAGGCTGAGTGGAGTGCGGTGCAGTGTAGTGCAGTGCAGTGCAGTGCAGTGCAGGGCAAGCGGCAAGCGGATCATGGAGTGGGTATTTGACGGGGGCGGCCATCACGTAATGTGTGTGAAGGAGCAGCGACGAAGGCGTTGCTAGGTCACGGGACGGAGGGTGGGACGAAAGCGTCGACAACCAATATTGGCCAGCAAAGCTTGTGTGGCGCGTCTTTGGTGCAGAGGCAGCTTGGCGACGGGGTCGAAACAAGTGACGAGAGAAGGGCCGTGGTGCTTGCGACGCAGCCAAAGTGGTTCACCAAAGATTGCGCAAGCTGTAGTGCGAATCTGCCACGCTTAGCGAGGCGTGGACCGCCCCCTGCGCGGCGCTGCGTACCCGGTTGCCCAGGACAGTGGACGGTGGGCGTCGGATGGCGCAGGGCAGAGGGCAGAGGGCAGAGGGCAGAGGGCAGGGCAGAGTCGGACGATGCGTATGTACTGTACGTGTGGTGTATACGCTGGGTGGAGGATGCGTAGGCGTAGATGGATGAATAATGGACGGATCGAGCGTCGAGGGATGAATAACAAGGGTCGGGCAGGTGAGGCGCGGCCTGGCGCTTCTTCTGCCTGCGCGTGGTTGCAGGTGACGGTCACGGCTGGTCGGTGTTGTGGGTTCTAGACATGAGGAAGCCGCGACAGGGCCGCGTCAACCCGCCCGCATGCGGTAAGCGCGAGTCGTCGTCGTCTTGCCCCATCCCTCAATCAATTACCCTCGTCCACCTGCGTCCGCTGCAGCGACACCACGACTCTACCGACGCCGCCTCTGTGTCTCTCTGCGCTGCTCCGCTGCCTGCACTTCCAAAGAAGAGCCTCCGCCGTCTTCGCGCCCGTCGACAGCAGCAGCGGCAGCCTTTTCCCAGAATACAACATCTGCAAGTGGCTGTCCGCGTTGCTGCGCCGCCGCATCATCGGGCTGTGCATCCTCTGCCAAACCTGCAGCGCCTGTCCACCACGCTATACACAGCTCCTCCCCCCCCCGACGCCATCCACCCTCCCCTCGACACTCCACCACCCCCATCATCACAACAACCCCCGCCGTTGCGACTCCGACTCGCGCCCGTCGACAATGGATCACAACACCCGCGCTCCTCGCGCTGCCACCAACGCCATGGACACGGACAGGCTGGCCGCCGAACTGACTGAGCAGTTCCGCCACGTCCTCAGCACAAAGCGAATCAACGACCTCACATCTCGCTCATCTCAATCCCGCTCCTCATCACCAGCGCCCCGCGACTTTGGATCCCCCCAGCCGCCGCCCTCGCAAGCAGCCCCACCGGCCTACTCGTCCATCAAGAACATTCCCCTCGTCCCAGAACCCCCACGTGATGCTCGCTCCCTCCGCTTCAAGAACATGCTCCACTCGCTCTCCAACATGCCCGTGCGATGGGAAAACCCTGGACTACTCGACGAGGCCCTTCGCGTCATCCCGCTCGAGCAAATCTACAACGAGGCTGAAGAAGAGAGCCAGATCCTGCAGGCCGAGGCCGAGAGCATGGGTGCTGGCAAGAAAGCAGCATGGGGCTACCAAGACTGCGTCGTCCGCGCACTACTACGATGGTTCAAGCGCTCCTTCTTCTCATGGGTCAACAACCCTCCTTGCTCACGATGCTACTCACCCACCGTTGCCATGGGCATTACACCACCACTTCCCGACGAACAGGCCCGCGGCGCCAGCCAGGTTGAGGCCTACCGCTGCTCCAACGACAGCTGCAGGAACTACGAGCGTTTTCCCCGATACAACGACGCCTTTGTCCTGCTCCAAACCCGAAGAGGCCGATGTGGTGAATGGGCAAACTGCTTCAGCATGCTCTGCCGCGCCGTTGGCTCAAGAGTACGCTGGGTCTGGAATGCCGAAGACCACGTCTGGACCGAAGTTTACTCTGTGCACCGCAAGCGATGGGTTCACGTAGATGCCTGCGAAGAGGCATGGGATAAGCCCCGGTTATACACTGATGGTTAGTCTCTCTCTCCAAGATGGGTACACGACACACAAACTAACATTGTTTCCAGGCTGGGGCAAGAAGCTCTCTTACTGCATTGCCTTTTCGGCTGATGGTGCCATGGACGTCACCCGCCGATATGTCCGTGACGCTAAGCATGCTGCCGAGCGCAACCGCGCACCAGAGGCAGTTCTCCTCTACATCATGGACGAGATCCGAGCAACACGACGAGCCAACATGTCCAAACAGGACAAGTTCCGCCTGCAGGGCGAGGACATCCGCGAAGCCAAGGAGCTCCGCGCTGGCGTCATCTCATCCATTGCACAGGCCGTGTGCAAACTACGACCCGAAGACATTATTAACGGCCAAGTCACACGCCGACTAGATGCCGATGCTCAAAAAGCACTCGAAGGCCGCCTAAGCGGCAACTCGGCATGGATACGAGCTCGTGGTGAGGGCGGTCAACAGCAAAACCAGCAAGACCCCCGAAACCAACACCCACGATGAGACTGTGGGTAAAAAAACCCAAGCACGCACATCACACTCACTACCATAGCCGGTACTTGTTGGTCGCATTGTGTGTAGATGACTAGCCAGAGGCAGGGCATTGGTACCAGGTGGGATTCGCTTGGTGCCCTGCTCTGAGGGCCAGACATGCAGACAGTGCGAAGTAAGCCGGTTCTCTTCCGAAATGATACCCGCGCCATTCGCTAGGCGGAAGATGCTCCGGCGTGTAAAATATAGAATCTGGGATTCATGTCGATTTGGATTCATTTGCGCTGGCGTTCAGGAGCAGATTTACAAGAGAGACATAAGCGGTAAAGTCTAATGTCTTGACCCGGACCTCGACTGAGGCTTTCCTAGTCGTTTTTCTTCTATTCTTCTCCACCATCATCATCATCCTTCTTCTCCTTCGTTGTCATCTCTCTTTGACTCTCTCTCTCTCTCTTTCTTGTGCCGCGTTGTATTAGCGACCAAGATGTCTTTTTTTCTTGTTTGCTCATTGCCATGTTGCATTCTTCACTTCTACTTGTTTGTGTGTGCGCAAGGGGTTTTTTGCTTGCGACACTGTTTATACCACTTGGCATCGGTTTTTTTTTCTTCACGAATTGCGACCGGATTTCTTATGTTTTATTTCGTATGTCACGAGCATTTCTGGGCTTTGTACGCATGATGTATGGGATTCACGTTTGCCGGCATTTGGACTGGATGCTAGCAGGCAGGTGAGATGGATGGGATGAGTTGTACACGGAAGGTGTGGGGATCCGCAGCCGTAGGGTGCTGAGCAGGAGGGAGGGGTTGACGCGCGTCCGTAGCGCCCCATACGCAGGGCAGAATGCGGGATTAGTGCGCAGTAGGCAAGATAGGAAATCAACGACCAAGATTGGTCATGTATCTGCAATGACTCCAAAGCACATGCCCGTGATGACCTCGACGACGACGTGTCTATGTCGAGGTGTGAGTGAAAGATTTGCAAGGGACGCGCGTTGGGTTGGTGGTGGCATGCAGGCGGTCAGGCCTAGGGGCAACACGATGACAAAAGGGCAGCAAATAGTGTCTGTCTACTCTAACACTACATGAGATTGATGGCTATTGGGCCAAAAAAGAAAAGAAAAGAAAAAAAGGGAAACCGAGAGGTATACTACTACGGCAAAAGCATACTAGATGTTTCACGAGCCCGAGCGAAGGGCGATTGATAATAATATAGAGCGTTATAGCAAGTACTGTACATAGTTATAGTGTGGGCGGTGATAGGCCTTATGCACGACAGCGAGGGATGCGAGTCATGTGAGATCAGCGGTCGTTCTTTTCTCCAGCTTTGGTTGCTGGATCCAGTCAAAGGACACGGCGAAGAGCGGCAGATGTGAAGAAGGAGAGGGGGGGTGAGAGAAGAAAAAAAGAAGGGTGACAGACACAGACTGGCTACATGGCCAGAATCTAAAAATAAACATTGGGAGGGGGGGGAAGACGACATTACACCCAATCAGGCCTAGTTATGTGTGAGATTTTGAGGGGGAGGGGGCGCGGTAGATGTCAGCGTGTCCGTGTGTGTGTGTGTGTGTGTGTGTGTGTGTGTGTGTGTGTCTATAGCAATGTGGCGGTAACGACGGTGTTGGAGGCTCTGCCATGGCTGTGCGACTTTGCTGGAGACTTGGCTTGGGCAGGAATCGGACCAGGTAGCAGGGAAGATGGGCAGAGAAGGACGAGTATGGCCGCGTGGAGTCAATCAAGAGGAGGCAGAGTAGTTCACGAAGAAGCGCCGAATAGGAAGGTGCTGGTGCTTGGCAGAGAGAAGTGGGTGGGTAGCGCGGGTGAGAGTAGGGCCGAGGGAGGGTGCGGCGGCCTTGGAGCGAGTTGGAGAGTGGGAAGAGAGAGAGAGGGCACAGCACGAGGTCTGAAACTGTGTTTGAGGACTTGGCCTCCTTAGTCATGACGGGTTTTAGGCGTGGACACTTGGTATCTTGGTATCACTGAGTGCATAGGTGTGCATTCTGCTCATGCGCTGACGATAGAGTGCTGTCTACGCAGTGCAGCCGTCGGGTGAGCCCAGCCACAATGCGTTATGGGGCCAAGACTCGGAGTGAATTAAGCATGTGTATGCGCGGATAGGGTCAGCAGGCGTGTGCAGAGTAGTTTGGCGTCGTGGGCGTCGTCGTC